TATATTAAATTAACCTTCATGGTTAACCTTCACAGTTACAGTAGGCTCCTGGGAAACCACCTGCCCCGCTGCCTCTGTTACACAGGCAGTAGTGTGGGGGGCAGATGGGAGCCAATACATGTGGGGAGCCTACCCCCCTCCCCCAAGAGTAACCAGGTAACTGCTGAAATTTTCAGCAATTACACAGTTACTTAATTAAGCTCATTTTAACTCCTCTAGTTTCTAGTAACAGCTATGTGACAGCTACAAATTCCTGGGCCGCTTCCCCAGTACCTTCCTTACCTGAAGTTCTTCCTTCTAGCACCTACTTGTACTTTCTTCTCTTCACCATATTTATGCTCATCAGCTCCTTCCTCACACACTCAACAAACAGAAGGGAATCCTTTTTAAATCAGTCTCAACTAGTTCTTAATTGTCCCCCAGGTGTTCTAATTAGTCTGACTCCCTTGAGTCTGGAAGCCTCCTAATTGTTTCCAGGTGTTTTAATTGGCCTGATAGCTCTGACTGTTTCTAGCAGGCTCCTGCTGGTTCTGCATTAGCCTTTGTGGGTCTACCCCTGGAACAGAGACCTATATAATCTGGGGCTAATATATTTTTTCTCCGCTACTCTCCTGTAGCCCTCTGGCCTGATTCTGTCACACAAGTTATAAGCATTTAATTAGTCATGTGTTACTAGCCTACTGAACTGTCAGTTCGGAAATCAGTTGTGGCCAGTAAGAATTAAGTAAACAAACAAAAGGGAGAAAAGATTATGTGGGTATACTATATAATAAAAATATTTAATTCTAATTTATTTAACTTTTAGGGTGGAAAATAAATAGATTATTTTCTTTTTCTTGCCAATATTTTTTTTCTGTTTCTAAATGCAAGTGATAGGAAATTCCATAGGACCAACATGTCATTGGAATACATATGCTTTATATTGCAAGAGCAATTTTAACAAGTATTAGAGAACTATAGGTGATTACCAGTATCAAACAAGACAAAAAAATGAAGCTAATGATAGCAGTAATTTGAAAATCTGTGTGTCACCTAAAATCCTCTTACTTTTTGCAGCAACTTTCCTGAGATGTATTTTTTCTTAGCAACATGTTGTACTGCTTCAGGCTGATGGCCTTCTCTTGCTTGTATATTGCAGCTATTCTCTAAAAATAAAAAATGACACAGTGTAACTTTTCTTCTGCCTCTAACTCTGTAATAAAAAGAGCAAAGAAAAGCAAGTTAATGTATTCTTGGCTGATAGACCCTGAAATGACTACTCTGCAGAAGGCTGTACGCTTGAAAATTTCTAGTTTTATTGAGGAATGCATTTTGTCTCCTGATTGCACTTTTGGCATCCTCAAGAGAGAGCAGCATAATCAGGGTCTTTTTCATAGTTTGAATAATGTAATAGAAGAGCTAAAGTACAGGCTGATGATGAAGATTTTTTAATACTGATCTTTTTTCTTTCAGTCTTTGTTTGGAAAAAATTTGACAACCATTCTTAATGAGTATGTTGCCATGAAAACAAAAGGTAAGCATTGAGAGTCAGATATCTGCTGTACAGCACTTCAGTACATTTATATATTAGAAGATTTACCTTGTGTTGATTGGGTCCTTCACTCAAATAAGTTTTATTTTTCTTCATTTAAATCATTGTTTTGAGATGGGGCTGGGGATGACAGGTTCAGGTCACAGGCTGCTCTGGGGAGAGAGGACAACCCCAGCCCTCTGTCACTATAGCAGCTTGGGACCAGATTGAAAGTTTGTGTCCATGGGAGCTGCTGCTGCAGTGGGCACAGACGGGGGAAGTGTGCATGTCCCCCACACAAACAGACAAACTCTCTGTCACCACCGCAAATAGCAAAATCCATGAATACTGGGAGTGGCGGCTCCTGTCCCTCTGTTGAGCTCCCCACGATGAACTCTCTGTGGCTTCCAGCTCTCACAATGATTATGGGAGGTGGGGTCCTGACAGCTGCTGCCTTCTGACAATGCCGCCCTCTTGAAGGCCATGCTCCCCCAACCGGGGGATAGGGTGCAGTGGGGTGACAGAAGAGACCTGCGAATAGTGATTCCAAAAATCTTGAGGGTCTCCTGTAGTAGATAGTTGTCCCTTTCTCCACCCCTGTCCTCTGCTGGCATAATGAAGTTATACCTGTCTTGGTCCCCATCTCTGGCACCTTGCTGCTCCCCGGTGGTCATTCTGCAGTATTATTGTCACTCCCATCAGACTTCTCCCTTTCTATTTTATGAGAAACAATCGAATTCCACGCACATCCCATTATCCTGATATAACCAAACCCTGACCTTGCTTTAAGTTATGATAAGAGAAAATTGCATACCAAATTTGGTGGTTCTAGCTCTTACCATTTAGAAGGAGTTCTTGAACAAACAGACTCACAGACAAATGGACAGATAGACTGACACACGTTTCTAAAATATATAGTAGGAAGAATTTGGAGTAGAGACAGTATTTCTCTCTTTCTGTACCTAACATAATCCTCAGTCTATGTTGGAACCTTTAGGTTTTGCCATAGCAAAAATAGTTGTTAAATTAATCAGTATTTTAAAGAGATACATACTATTGTAGCTAGTAATCGTATTCATGCTTTTTCAGTAAAAATGTGAACAGAATCTTTAATGTAGCTATTGACAGAAGTGCATATTAGCCATACAATAAATGTAGGCTCGTGATTGCAGAGGTGTACTTTGTATATCCGTAGCGTCCAACTAGTTCTGAAGCAGACTGGTCACATTATTCTGAAAATGCTATTGTGAACTAGCCACATTATTTAAGCCAGCTAGCCACACTCAACCAGACAAATAGCCACATGTGTCTATTAGCTAGTGTGTTGGACACCATGGCCCTAAAGTATGATGTTTTACCAGGCTTCTTCCCAGTATTAAGAGTAGCCTCTATGCTGAGGTAGTCTGTTTATATACAAAAACAGAAAAAATAACCAGAGGAGACTTGCAGTATGCGTGTGAAATTTGGCTTTCCTGTCTTGATTTCCTTAAGTCCTCTTTAAAAAAAAATCAAAATGAATTATTAACATGTTGTGCGGATAGGAGAGAGAAAAGTGCAACTGTTTTTTAAAGAAAGTAACTAATAAAGGTCTGTCATTCACCTAGATTTGTTCACCATTAACATCTGTGCAAGTGACCAGACTTTGGTTTTTCTTTGTTCTGCTGATGCTTTGTGAGATTTGGGGAGACCTTAGATCGCTGTGTAAATAAGTGCCATGTCTTGAATATATTTGTAATGTTTTCCTCATTTAGTTATGTTTAATAAAAAGGTAGTTATAAGGCACACATTGAATTGCAGCATTATAACATTTATTTGTCATTTCTAAAGAACATTATAAAGAGGTTCAGCTAAATCTGGGAAAGGTGACGTGAGCTTCTCTGACTTTAAACTCAGCTAATAAAGTAGGTGAGAAGAAAATACTATAATGTGGTAAGGAAATTAGAAAGGTAGTATGTATGGGTTTCATCCTGAGAGCTGTTTAGCACCCACAGTTCCCATTAAATTTGCTTTGAACTCCAAGTACTAAAGACCTCCAGCTCAGACCTAGTGTGTACAAGAGTTTAATTTGGACTTTTAGTCTTTTCTGTAATTTTAGCTGCTTGGAGATTCTTCCTCCTTTTCATTTGTTTTCAAATTTCAAGCATGTTATCTTCCCTAAGTGATTTCTCAAAACAAGCTGTGATTGCTGCAAAAGGCTATAAATAGACAATTTTTTTCAAAAGTACTCAAGCAATTTATGGGCATAAATCCAATTTTTAGAAGTAATTTAGGCACTTGAGCCTAAATCCTACAGACTTATAATGCCTCGGTCACTTCGAACAACGAGACTTGGGTTCCTAAGTTGCTTAGGTACTGCTGAAAATTTTACTTACAGTACTTCTTGATTGTATTGCACTAGATTTCTGACACAGTATTTCTCAGGCTACCTATTAGCTTTCTGATGAATGTATTCATGATTTTTTTTTAAAGAAACAACAAATGAAGTTCCTGCAATCATGTCATCT